GGGTACAGTACATTCCAGTGCAGGCGATCCCACTGGGTGGGAGGTGCGCTTGGGGTGCCTTTGAATTGAATGGCACTCCAACACACCTCCCGCAGGAGAATTAATCAGGCTGAATCTGAAATGCCGAGGCTGCCTGGCTTCCGGACCATCATGAGGTGCCAGCTTCCTGATTGGTCAGGAAGCCAGGCTGACTAGCAACAAGTAAAGCCAGCTCCCTAGCTAATCGGGAGGCTGGTCATAGCCCACCGCCCCCGGCTTCCTGATTGGAAAGGAAGCCGGATCCATGCTCCCTCGGCACTTGCGGTCAGAGGGAGATCTCCCTCTTGCCAGAATTTCTGGTATCGGAGCGTTTGGGCTAGTATTCGCCCAAATACTCCATCAGCACGGATACCAATACTAGTATCGGTATCAGTGCAGCCCTACTTTTTTCCCCCACTTTTAATAATTGTATTGTAAGCACATAGCACTTGAATAGCTTTATCCAGGGAATGCCAGCTGCTAGTGGCAAGATTCCGCACACGGCAGTTAAATGTAAATACAGCAGGTAGTGGCTGGTGCAATATCCAGCCTGCCATTTCAAATTGCAATAACAGGCTGGCTATTGCCACCCACTGCTTGCTGTGCCCTCCTCCCAGCGTGGAGGAGAGAGCTAGGGGATCTAACCAACTAATCAATAATGGAAATGGTTGACAACTATTCTCATTATCGATTTTAATTGATTTGTTGGTTGCAGCCCTAGCTAAAGGTAATTTTATCAGTAAAATATAACAGATGAGTTTGAAGCCTTAAGATTGTGCATGCTTGTGAAAAGGTGGCAAGCTCCGGTACCCAAAATTGTCTATAGGCGATGCTTTAAAACTCTTTACGGGTCATCAGTTTACTTTAGTGTTTCCTGTGAATAATGGCTCCAGAATTTTTCCTCTCACTGCAGCGTGCATGGCACTACCTATGTGTGACCCAATTGTCCTCTTCATAGGTAGGCGCACCTGACGCATGCGTGTACTTTAGTTTGTTTTGGGGGGGTCTTTAAAGAAGATCTATAAGAATTCCAAAAGTTAACCCTTACAGTGGGCTACTCCTGGATTGCAAGGGTTAACTGCTCATTTTTCTCTAGGGGTGATGATAAATAATACTCACCCGATCCTTAGTCCTGTGGCAGTGACCACTTATCTCTCTCCTGCACCACTCTGGCTGTGGTATGCTCCTCGACATCTTAAGGTCTAATAGACCTGTATTGGATGTGATGCCAGAGCCTGTGGAGACCGAGGATCGGGTGAGTACTTCTTGTTTGTTTCCACCCCAACCCCCCCAAAAAATAAAGTGGTTAACCCTTGCAGTGCAAGGGTTAAGGTTACAAAATCCTGGCGTTCTTTAAGGAGAACTCGTAGACCCCTAATGTCCCATCTGCACTCTATTGAAGCTAATCAAGCTCTGATCATGCTTGATTAGCTTCTTCCCTGGCCAAATCGGTCAGGGAATGACAGCGCTGAAGCTGGAAGTGACCAAAAGCTTGTTACTTCCATCTTCATCCCTGCAGCAACAATTAGGGATTCGTCCACTTATTCATATATACTAGTATCTTCATAGTACAATCTCACCTTGAATAGACATCAGTTTTGGAACCAGTCCACAAGAAGAATGTCCTGGAACTGGACAGCGTACTGAGGAGCTGCAATAAGGAGTCCATTGGCAGAGGAAAGTTCATTGAAAGGAAGGTTGATCACACTCCAAAAGACTTGCTGCTTTTCAGTAATGTTAAATTATTATTGTGTTTTGGCAGCTGAAGGACTTTTTTTGGATATTGGCATAGTGAACCCTCTGAGTCCCTCCTCTGCAGCGTTATAAGTAATCTGCAAATTCCATGCCCGAGTGCAGGAATTGACTGTACTGCCCTTTATAGAAACTTTAGGTTCTCTCCTTGTAGTTGCTGGAAACGGGTAAAACCATACTGGCCTATATAGAAACTTTAGGGTCACCACAAGACCTCAGGGCTCTCCCTGTAGTTGGAAGAAACATGTAAAACCATACTGGCCTATATAGAAACTTTAGGATCACCACAAGAAATGAGGGCTCTCCTTGTAGTTTGAAGAAATGGGTAAAACCATACTGGCCTATATAGAAATTTTAGGGTCACCACAAGACCTCAGGGCTCTCCTTGTAGTTGGAAGGAACATGTAAAACCAAACTGGCCTATATAGAAACTTTAGGATCAGCACAAGAAATTAGGGCTCTTCTTGTAGTTGGAAGAAATGGGTAAAACCATACTGGCCTGTATAGAAATGTTTGGGTCACCACAAGACATGAGGGCTCTCCTTGTAGTTGCTGGAAATGGGTAAAACCATACTGGCCTGTATTGAAACTTTAGGGTCACCACAAGACATGAGGGCTCTCCTTGTAGTTGCTGCAAAAGGGTAAAACCAAACTGGCCTATATAGAAACTTTAGGATCACCAGAAGACATGAGGGCTCTCCTTGTAGTTGGAAGAAATGGGTAAAACCATACTGTCTGTATAGAAACTTTTGGGTCACCATAAGACACGAGGGCTCTCCTTGTAGTTGGAAGAAATGGGTAAGACATATTGGCCAATATAGAAACCTTTATGGTTTTTACCTCATGTATCATGTCCCCCTCCTCTTTTAGATTGTAAGCCCTCAGGGGCAGGGCCCTCCTTACCATCTTGTCTTGAATTGTATTGTAACTGTAATGTCTTCCTTTATATTGTAAAGCGCTGTGCAAACTGTTGGCGCTATATAAATACTATGTAGTAATAATATTAATATGGTCACCACAAGACATCAGGGCTCTCCTTGCACTTGGAAGAGATGGGGTTTGCTGCAAAAAGGTTTCTTAAAGTACACCTAAAGCCACCTGAACTTGTTTAGTTTTGGATGGAGTATGATCTTCAGTCAAGTGTTTTTTTTTTCGTTTTTTTTTAATTGCTGTCTGGCTCCATGTTGGTGAGATTCTATGTGGTTGCATACATACCTCTCTATGCACTTTTGTGAGTGTAAACCTGTGGTATGACAACACATAGTGTATTTCCATTACCATTAATTGCAGTGGCACCCCAATGTGTGTACACAGACAAAACAAAGGCATATTTGTTTTTTTGGTCCGTGGAAGCATGTTGAGAGTTCAGTAAAAATGAATGGGCGCACTCGGCACAACCCTGTGTGCCTTAGATCCCTTAGACTAAATGTAGAGAAGGTGGGAGCCACTGCTCGTTCCCCCGCTGCTCTCTGTTCTCCGATCTGCTCTGTGTGATCATGGAGACAGGAGCGCTGTACTTTATTGTAGCGCTATGTTCTTATGTCTAAGCTGACACAGGGGATTGAGCGCAATACTGGCTCTTCTGTATTAGGGCTGCAACCAACTAATGGATTAATCAATAATGAGAATAGTTGTAAACTATTCTCATTATCGATTAGTTGGTTGGATCCCTAGCTCTCTCCTCCATGCTGGGAGGATGGCACAGCAAGCAGTGAGCGAGTGCAATAGCCAGCCTGCTATTGCAATTTGAAATGGCCAATAGCAGACTGGCTATTGCACCCGCCCACTACCTGCTGTATTACATAAAGCTGCCGTCTGCGGAATCTTGCCACTCACAGCTGTCATTGCCTGGCTGAAGCTATTCAAGCGCCTTGTGCTTACAGTACAATTATATATAATTTTCTTTTTAATAAAAGGTGAAAAAAAAAGTCATCTGCTGCAGGAAGCACCCAAAATGCTAACCTCCCACCCACACTGTGATCGCTCGTACTGGAACGCACAGTACTGCAATGCTGTGCGTTCCAGTGCAGTGTGATTGCAAAAAATTGTGCATGCAGCTTTATTCTGAAGTAAACTTTGTTTGCAACACTGCATTTCTGCGTGCTAAATTATGGTGTGTGTGTGCTTTTTTTTTTTTTTTTGTATCTGATTAATCGAAAAAATTATCTTTCAACTAATCGATTATGAAAATTATTAGTTGCAGCCCTATTCTGTATCGGAGGGCAGGCTCCATAAAGTAAAAAATAATAAAATCAATAAAGTAAAAAAATACATTCAAATTTTCAAAAAAAGTTAAAACCAACCCCGCCACCCCCACTATCTGCATGCGAATAAACGCAGACGTAGGGCAGTGTGTACGTACGTGCGCGCGCTGAGTTGTGTCATATCCTGGTAGCCGGGCAGCAGCGCTCTCGAACACACACAATATGCAGTAAAGGGTAAGTTCACTTCCCCAAATAATTTGAGAAAATGGAATTACCCGGTCAAATCTGGCCCCCTCTCCCTCCCACCTCCTTTACTTTTCAGCAAATGGTCCTTCCCCTCCGCTGGAATGGGTGTCCTATCTGTACCCCATGTTGCCATCCAGCGCACCTCTGCACTATAGATTTTGAATTTCGCTTGCAGGTCAGTGTGGTCAGGCGACAGTAATGACTAATGAGAAGTGCTTCTTAGCGCGGTTTTTTAATTTTTTTCTATCACAAGTGGATTGTCATGAGACGAGTAGACCGGGCCCCCACTTTAGTCCTTGGAGATATAGTTTTTTTATTTTATTTTTTTAAATGTCCACACCCCTGCTGTAGGGATGATCCGACTGTCCTCAAGTATCTCCTTGTTTATCTTGGAGAGGGGCAGGGAAGAGTCTGACATAAAAAAAATGCTAATTTGGAGATTTATCTGATTGCCAGTAGAGGTCAGGATGGGTTTTCTCCCAGATTAAAAAAAATTGATTTAGGGCTGGTTAGCGATCAAAATCATTTTAATCGATCAAAAAGTTTAACGATTAATCGACAAATTAATCTTTAATTTCCACAGCCCTAAAATTGCTAAAACCACGCTTTATAAGAGTAGTTGGGTCTGCTTATGTCTCTGACCATGCAGGATGCTCCTATTTATTTATTTTACCTATGTAACCATGCTCTCTGCTTGGTCCAATGCCATTGTAGTAGCTTTGTTTATTGTTGTATGTTTTTCTACGTTGTGACTATTGTCCTGCTTTTTGTTTTTCACAGGTTGTGAATTAATCCAGGAGTGCAGCTCCAGCCCACGGCCTGAACCCCCCCGCCCCCAGTGTCATCAGCCACATGGATTACCAGGGGATTAGCGCAAGGAGGGAGACGGACTAATAAGGGGAGGGGGCAAAGGGCTGCAAGACATTGTACGCTCCCCTCACTCTGGAGATTTGGAGGAGGGGAGGCTTTTCACCCTCATCAGCCCCCGAATTATTAGCAGCTGCCTACGAGCCCCATTGATTTATCATGTCGGGGCTTATTTAATCGCTTTTGTAGAACTGCCTGTTCCCCCCCACGTCTCATTTCATATACATTTCTCCCATTGCCTACAAGTGCTGCGTGGGGATATGCTGAACACCCTAGTTCCCTCCTCCCATCTCCACGATGCCTGTAGGAACTGTCAAGTCTTTCAAACCCAGCAAGTACATCCCTGTGACCGCAGCAACTGTGTTTCTGGTGGGCTCAACGACGCTCTTCTTCGCTTTCACGTAAGTCTTCGAAGCCGCAGAGGCCTTTCTTGATGTCTGTAGTTGCTTTTTGCTTTCCTGGTTTGTATGATTCTTCACTTTGCACTTTCCTATATTGTTTGATACTATAGATGGACACACTTGTATGTAAAGCAAAATGGCTGCTGACCGTACCTTACAGGTGTACCTAAAAGAAACTGGCAGACCTCAGAAAAAGACAGTTGGGAGTTATAATTTGATTCACTGGCTGATCAATTATGCGGACGTGTATGCGGTCAGACACTGAGAACATAACAAAGCCAGATCATTAGCTTGACAGCCAGTCAAGTAGAATTTTCAGGCATGGCGGCCCTCATATTTCTTTCTTGATGGGCTTCTCTTAAAGTGACCCCGTCAGCACAGGGTGACTATGCTAATGCATACCTGTAATGTAAAAGAAAATGTTCTTTACCTTTCAAGGGTCGAATAAGTGTCCCACTTGCATTCAATGGGATTTCCTTCTGGCTCATATGTCTTGTAGTGACCTATGACCTAGTGGGAGAAACCACTGCGCACAATGGGGGAAACAAATATTTGATCCATCCAGCTGGTTAAATACTTGTAATATCCGGTGAGTAGTGAAGAGGAGGTGTAGTAATAAATGTGCTGCCAGAAAGGTAAGTATATTCCCGATTTGGTGGCAGGTATGCTTTAACATAAAAGTGTGCTTACACGGTGGGTCACCTTTGAGTTTAAGTCCAGTTATTGGTAGTTCTGTATTCGTGAATATATTAAATGTATTTCCCCTTCTTCCTCTAAGACGGCTAACCGACACACAGCTTCTCCCACCTGATAGGGACAGGAAACACACAAAGAAGATTAAAAGCCTCACCCCCACTCACTTCCTGTCCCTGTGAGGTTAGGATGTGAGAAGATTATTCTTGTCTGCCAATTTTTTCTTTTTTAATATGTTTCCTTTTCTTTTGTTCGGGATCCTCGTTGAATCCCAAGGTTTTGTCCTTTAAAGTTTAAGGCTTACATAGCCAGCATGCTCTTCAGGTGAAGACAGTGGTTTATAAAGGTGTCCTTCACTCAGGATAATTCCTCACTAGTGCACCTGAGTTGGCTCAAGACTGATTACCACCCCTCTTCCTAACTGAATCAGTTGCGGAAATGCACTTCCCGCAACTACCGCCACTCAGTTTTGAGCGGTCTTTGCACCAAGCCCAGCCTTGTCTCTATTTCTGAGAATGGGGTTAGCTGCAGGAAAGTGTATCCCTCTTCCCACTCTTGAAGTTGAGGCTAGGAGAAATCAGATTTTGAGGCTCACAGCATATTATAGTCTATTCATAGAGGAGGCGGTACCTCCAGTTCCTGCCCCATGGCGCAGAATGTTGATGACCAAGTGAGCACAAGTTTTAATGTTGCGAACACAACACCTGGAAGTGACGTCATTTTCATCACTTCCACCTATCCCAGTATCATCCGGGGTGGAAGCGATGAAAATTACGTCACTTCCAGGTGCTGTGTGTTCCAAGCATTAGAAGTTTTCTGCGGAAAACCGAATCTGCAAGGACACTAGACACCCTTTTCCTCCCAGTCACTGCTATAAAGAACGAGGGTCTAGAGGTCAGTACTCTGTAGGAGTTTTATGGCAGAGCCCCTCTGCTCCAGGTTTGAACCCAGCATGGATGGTGCAAAGCCCAGGAGCTGCTCACACCCAGGTCAGTGTTGTGAGGCAGTTTTTAATTATGCAAAGTTCTTTGCAAACTTTTTATGCCGAAAGCTTGCTAGTGGATGAAATTTGTCTGGCCGTTTCTGTATTTAGTCTGGCCTAATGTGCAGGCAGGCTAGAGTACCTAGGCCCAAGGAGGCAGATTTGGCTTCCTAATCCTTGGAAGCCCAGATTACATTGCAGCAAAGTGGAAATGGAAAATTAGGATAAGGCTTCTCCTTCAAAAAACGTTTTCTTTTTGTTCTGAGACAGAGGATACATTTTGGAGTATAAGGGTGCTGATTGTTCGCTCATGTGAGACACAGTTGGCAATGAAGTGAGGTGGTAGGTTTGGTCCACCTTTTATCTTTTTCCTTTCTTCACCCGTTTTGCCTCTCATCAAATGACTAGCTAGGAGTTTGCCTGACGGGGAACCTTTGTTGTTATAGATTCATCTGTTCACCTTCTTTCCCTTCACTTCTCTGGTGGTGTTCCTTAATTAATTCCAATTACCTTCTGCCTGGGTGTGTCTCCTATAGGTGTATCCACTTTCTGACCGCACTGGTTAGATCCTGCAAGCAATGGTTTTTGTTATTGTTAAACTGGGTTACACTAGGTGGCCTCTTTTTTGTGTTTTTTAAAGCTGGCCACAAGTAAGACTTGTTCACACCATGTCCATGGAGCTGCATTTTTCTGTGCAGAAATACGCAGCCCAACAGACATAGTATGAATAAACCCTTTGGGCTTGTTCACACCATGTCCAGAGCAGAACATTTGTTTCCGGACCAAAAAAGTATCCATGTGGTATTTCTGGGTTCTGTTTACACCTGTTCTGGTCCAGACAAAAAAAATACTGCTCGTCTCATTTTCTCTGGTCTGGAAAGCACCGAAACGCATGACATAAAAGCATGCAAACGCACTGAACTGCATCTGAAAGCCCATTTGAAGCTTAAAAAAAAAAAAAAGTGGCAAAAACTGTACTGCGTTTGCAGATCTGGAAAGATTTCTGGACGACGTGGATGGAGGAATCTTCCTGGGGGGCTATTGTATTCAATTCTGCCAACTGGCACTCACCGCTTTCATAATATTGTTCAGCCAATCACTTTCCATATGACTCCTTCAACACAAGCCAATTGAAAATTTGACTTATCGCATCCGGTGGTTGGCAGAGCCATCAATCGCTTGAATTTCATCCTATTTCTGCTGAATTAGCTGACGTGGGTTATGGGTGGCCAGCTTTAGTCTTCATATCCAACCGGTGTTTGGGCTTGAAGAGGCTAAAGCTGGCCATACACATTACAATTATCTGCAGATTTTCTGTGGTCAGATGGAAAAAGTGCAACAGATTCCTCCATCTACACTTAGCTGTGTGGATGAAGGAATCTCCCACTGGGCCAAGCTTCAGTATCTTGCCAGTTGGCCCCGCTGGCTCTCAAAATACCTGAACAATGTTTGTAGCCAGCGGGGCCGACTAGTAAGATGCTGAAGTTTGGCCCAGTGGGAGATTCCTCCATCCACACAGTTTAGGGTAGTTGGAGGAATCTGTTGCACTTTTTTCCATCTCACCACAGAAAATCTGCAGATAATCTATAGGCGTATGGCCAGCTTTAGTTTAGGGCTTCTCGGCCTGTAAAATCGGCTTCATAAACTAGAATGCTATGACCCTTTTTTGTGTGGTTATATAAGGCCACTAACCTACGCTTCACCAGCTTCTCTCCGGCTTCTGTACCGGAGAATGACAGAGGAATGCGGAAGTGATGTAATACACATCACTGCCTGCATTCAGAGATCGTGTACTGACCCCCCTCCTTTCTCAGTGCACGATGCCACATGGCCGGGATTGCAGGGATGACTAGGAGAGGTAAGGAGGGCGGGGTGTCAGAGATGCCTCATACAAGCGATTGGACATCTATACAGATGCCGGACCGCCTGCATGTAAACAGCCATCGCTGGCTCTTTCAAATTCTTGCAGTTGCTTGCTCGTGCGTTCGGGCATGAAGGAAGTTTAAAGACACCCACCCGCATCCAGAAGGCTCCTGTCCGGCCGGTTCTGAGCGTTCGGTGGATGGGATGTGGTTAATAAAAGGTCCTGCCCTTTAGGGCCCTGTCACACCATGTCCGGACCAGATATGCACGCGTATCTGCAAACATGGTGCGTTTGCTATGCGTTCCAGTGTGGGGTTTTTTTTTTTGGGGGGGGTAATACGGGTAATGTCATTGTGCAAATTAATCTCTTCCTGCTCCATGTCATAGCTTCTGTTGTGTTCCGGTGCGGTGCGTTCCCTGCACTGGAGCGGACTGGACCGGTGTGAACAGAGCCCACAAATCATACAAATGCATTGGGATGCATTTTTGGTGTGGAAGAAAAATTTAACGTATCGCATCTGATCCAGACATTGTGTGAATGGGCCCTTAGTAAGCACAGGGGTGGACAAAGTAATATGGAATTTAGGAGCCAGTCTGTCCACTCCAGGATTTTTTAGGAGTCCTCTTCATTGACTAACTACTAGCGGAAACCTCTAAGGTTAGGCTGCAGCTGTAATTGTTAAGGGGCATTGGCTACCTGAATCCTCGGATTTGTCCAGCCATGAGTAAGCATGTAGATATCAGGCGTATTAGCTGTCCTGGCTCCTTAACTGCATAGGTTTATCCTGTATCAGTGACCTAGAAAACACCTCCAACAAGAGATCAGCATTCACTTCTGTCCTGAAATGTTCCCTTTGAGAAAATCCACTCATACTCGTACTTCATCAAAGCACACAGCATTCAGAAATGCCAACGTAGCCGTACCGGTACAGATGTATGCAGGAGCTGTCACCGACCATGCAAACAACTAACAAGAGGCTGCAGTCTCGAACTGGGGTACGATGAAAGCCAACATATATCTATATTCCATAGATCATGGTCAGTTGATAAACGGAGTGAGATGTGTGACTTTTGTGTAATATTGATCATGATTGGTCATGATTTGTGCATAGTGGCTGAAATTGTGCCTTGAGGAAAACATGTGCTGAGAACATGAATATGCAGGGCTTGCAAAATCTGCAGGAGCTAGACGAGTAGCTTCCCGGCCAGCCGTTGTGATTAAACGGCCGGCAGCTTTTTCATTCAGGTGATCGAGCGTCTGTAGAGACGCCCGATCGCTTGTATTAGCAGCAGCTGTCACTGCCGTTGCCGGTCCCAAAATCTGCTGGGCCGGGGAGGCCGGGACCGGCACGGCTGCTTTGTGACAGGAGATCGATACACAATCTCCTTCTCTCCTCTCCGGTCCCTGAATGCAGGAAGTGATGTATATAACATCACTTCCGCAATCTGCTGTCACTCTCCA